ACTATCAAAAGAGTGAGACTTGATAATGCTGGTGAATTTACTTCACAAGCATTTAATGACTATTGTATGGCTGTAGGAATTGTTGTTGAGCATCCAGTTGCTCATGTACATACACAAAATGGTTTAGCTGAATCACTGATTAAACATCTCCAGCTAGTAGCTAGACCATTGATAATGAGGACAAACCTTCCTGTGTCTGTTTGGGGTCATGCAATCTTACATGCCAAATCATTGATACGCATGAGACCGAGTTCATATCATGTATATTCTCCACTACAACTTGCTTTTGGTCAAGAACCAAATATACCCCATTTGAGAATTTTTAGATGTGCGGTATATGTCCCTATTGCACCACCTCAACGGAAAAAAATGGGTCCTCAAAGAAGGTTGGGAATATATGTTGGTTATGAACGAGTCTCTATTATAAGATATCTTGAACCATTAACATGTGATATTTTTACAGCACGCCTAGCAGATTGCCAATTTGATGAGGAAAATTTCCCATCATTAGGGAGAGAAAAGAAGATTCTGGAAAAGGATGTGTCATGGTATGAGCCTTCTTTATCATATCTTGACCCTCGCACAAAACAATGTGACATGGAAGTTCAAAAGATAATGCATTTCCAAGAAATGGCAAATCAATTGCCTGATGCATTTACTGACACAAAAAGGGAGACTAAATCATATATACCAGCTGCCAATGTTCCAGCTCGAATTGAAATTCCACATGGACAATCTGATGATAAAGTCACTCAAGAGTCTAAAACACGCCTGAAGTGTGGAAGGCCATTTGGTTCTAAGGATAAGAATCCAAGAAAAAGAAGAGGATCGGAAAATGCACTTGATCATGAGGAAAGTGTTCCTGTAGAGACACAAATTATTCAAATCCCCCCAGGAAAGGAGGATGATGCACAAAATCATGGTCAAACAAATAGAATACATGACCAAAATGAAACTGACAATATAAGTGCAATATTTTCTTATTTAGTTGCATGTGATATTATGAATGATGATCCCGAACCACAATCTGCCATTGAATGTCAAAAAAGAAATGATTGGGCTAAATGGAAGGAAGCTATGCAAGTTAAGTTAAATTTTCTTAACAAGAGAAAGGTTTTTGGGACCATTATCCTCACACCTGGAGTTGTTAAATCATTAGGGTATAGATGGATCTTCGTACGAAAAAGAAATGAGAAAGACGAAATTGTAAGATACAAGGCTAGACTTGTTGCTCAAGGTTTCTCTCAAAGACCTGGAATTGATTATGAGGAAACTTATTCACCTGTAATGGATGCAACCACTTTTAGATGCAACCACTTTTAGATATTTAATCAGCTTGACAGTCTCTAAAAATTTAGAGATGCGTCTTATGGATGTTGTTACAGCTTACTTGTATGGATCTCTTGATAGTAATATCTATATGAAAATTCCCGAAGGATTTAAAATGCTTGAAGCATTAAGTGCAAAACCCAAAAAAATGTACTCTATAAAATTACAAAGATCTTTGTATGGGTTAAAGCAATCTGGACGAATGTGGTACAATCGTTTAAGCGATTATTTGACAAGCAAAGGTTATAAAAATAACACTAGTTGTCCATGTGTATTTATTAAGAAAACAACATATGGGTATGTGATCATAGCAGTCTATGTTGATGATCTAAACATCATTGGAACGAATAAAGAAATCCTTGAAGTGATTGAACT